CTTCTGTTATTCCCTTCAAATTCTTTTTGTGTGTGTTTCACACAAACCACAATATCGGCCGGGGCGCTTGGGGGGGGGGGGGATTTGGGGAAGTTGAAGCCCACACATCTTAAAGTTGCCAAGGGTGAGAAACACTGCACTACACTATCCAAAAAGGAGAAGGAGAAGGCTTTCCAGGATCATAATGGTAGCTATTAGGTCTAAACAGCTATTAGGTCTAAACAGCTGGTGCATGTTGTGTGACCATGGGCAAATTGAGTTTTTTCCTGCAACTTGATAGTGTATAGATGATGTTTATGAAACAGCCAATTATGCTCTGCAATCACAAGGTGGAAGAAAATAGACCCTCATCACACTAAGCCACAATTTTTTAAACTGTTGTTTGATAAATAGATTCTAGCTAGATGGACCCACAGAGCATGTTAAGCCAAAACCAAACACATCATGCTTTTTGACGATGCTTAATTGCAGCTTTGGTTTTCTACTTTGTCCTAGAGTGCATCCTTTCCTTGCAAGCTGAAAGCTGTTGGCACATGTAATTTTATGGAAGCTGTAATGGTATGTGGGAATGAGCTTGGAAAACAGGAGGAAGAGCTGCAGACTAGACATCCATCAAGCAAAAAATATCTCAGCCCACAGAGTGGACCCTCCCAGGTTTTCTGGAGAGTAAAAGGATAGGAGGGGAGAAATACTTTCAGTCTTGCAAGATTCTGTTTCTGTAACCTTACAACAAAGAACTAGTACTCCTGGTTGTGCTTCTCATCTGGACTACCTTGAAGGGCTAACAGAAGCCTACCACTGGTTCACCATCCAGATCCTCAAACTACACCCCAGTCAAAGCCTCCTAATTGTTGTCTTACATTTCAGTTCCCCTAGAAACATCTATCCTGTGAAAAAGAGGTAGACCTAAATTGCAGCACGCAGAGGCTCTCCCTTATCTCACTGAATCACCTGGTCAATTGCTTCTATGAGTTTGTATGACTGTAATGTTTTGTCCCACTTGCTGCGATACTCAGGCAGGTAAATAAAAGGGAGTAATTTGTCAGACGGGATGTCCAGTAACACTTCAGTCCGGTATCTGGAAACAAGTATTTCAGTGTTAATTGATATACTGATGACGACTGCAATGCACCTGTCAGGAAAAATCCTCCCAAGTCCTACTTGGATAAATTGCAGTTGGGAAGAAAGTATTGTTGGATTTTTTTATGCCCCTTCTGTTAGAGGGAGAGTTGCTGGGAGTTGGGAGGCATATAAATTGAATAAATAAAATTATTATTATTATTACGGTTGGTCACACAGTCAGCCAGATGTTTAGACTGGATTTGGCTTTTTATCCATCTATAGAGTCTTTCCAAACGACCTGGGAGAGGCAGATGTTGCTGTTTGATGGTGTTAAAGGTATCGTCACAGGATGGAAGCTGTTCCAAGTAAAGCTGC